GCTTTTGAGCCTGAGGTAATAACCCTGATGGCAGGTGAACTGGATATTGACTGTGTGACTGAGGTAATACTGTGGTTGATGAGTGTGCCGGTATCGTTTGAGAAAAGTACCTTGATATTCCAAGATTATAAGGGCTTTGTGGACTTGGTTTTGTGTCTGCATAGAGAAAAGGCAAGCTGGCACTACGTTGCTGGATGGATTGCTGCTGACAGCCTGGGTGAGGGACTGACCTTTGATGTCCAGCACCTGCAGCATGAGAGTAAAGCAAATCCTGATGCATGCGTGGTGTACCTTTGCCTTGCTCAAGAGACATTTGTAATGTGCTTTGTAGTTCCCTGATTTGCTCTTGAACATTCCATACACACTCCTCCACTCTACGTAACCTTGTTGCCTCAGGGTACTGCTCAGTCAAAAGTCTATCAGGAGTAGAAGTTCGATAGTCCACATCTAGATCAGGAAAGGTCTCACTAATCTGCATATGGCGTAAATCCTCTTGCAATGGGGGTGGAACGAGCTGCCTTGGTTGGTGTTACGACCCTTCTTTGGCTCGTTCCCATCTAGGGAATTTTAGAAGGGGAACACAGAACCGGTTCAATGAAACCTCTCTTTAGAGCACTTAATGTGTTGAGAAAACACGAGAGACACTCAGAGATATAATGAAAAATAATTTAATAGTAAATAAGTTGGTTAACATAATATGTGAAAAAGGGCAAAAGGAAAAAGGGAAAACAGGATTTGTGCCAAATAAACGAAAGTAACATAAATACTAACTAGACCATCTCCAATCTAAACCTAGACTAAAACAAAAGAACAAAGAAAAAGTCTTCAACGTCCTAGACGCCGTGTCTAAACTACACTAACTAATAACAAAAATACAGGGGGTGGCACAAATCTCTAACCTAGTGAATATAGACACACAGAAAAACCTAAGTGTGCAAAATGTATGTCACGTGACATTCTTACCTATTCCCTTTTCTCCTTCCCAACTAATCCAGCCTTGCAAAGCTGCTTAATAGACTCAAAATCTCACAAATGCGAAGCTTCAGGGAAAACTCGAAAGGCAAGCATAACATGACAAAGTAAAGAAAACATTCAACAGAACTAAATCAACTGGAGAGAAAACAAAAAAACAAACATCTCAAAACAAGACCAAAGTCTCTCAAAGCAAACACAAAAATCTCTCTCCCTTCCCGCAGTTAGCACGCGTCTTAAGTAGGGCTTCTCCAGGTGTCGCGCATCGGGCTGATGAAGATCCCGCCTCCCAGGCAAAACCCGCTCATTACGCTGATTGACAGGTGGTATAGCCAATCAGCGACGACCTGCGAAAGCGAAAGTAAGGAAGAGAGACAAAAGAAAAACACAAACCTCGAAGGAAAACAATCTAACCGTCCCTAAGGACGTAACAGTTGGGAAGTAAGAACAAAGTCCTCCAGATGTCCAGGAATTCGTCGGATCCGGGAAGGACGGAGACTTTGATGTTCTTCAATATAATCCCGAGATGCTGCCATGAGGATAAGATGTTAAATCCGGCTCGAAGGACCACTTTGTTAAAGATGTATGTACATTAACGGACTGGTTTTTCAACATATCATCCTCAACCTCGATCAGAAGGTTTGTAAGCAAATAAGTTCATATCTGCGGCTGTAACGAGGCATCGTTGTTTGTTTGGATGTGTGTGCGTTCTTGACAAAGTAAGTTTCCAATAGTGAATGTGTATGTGCATAAATAACCACAAACAACAATATAGCATTGAATAAACATACATGCGTCTACTTATACACATACACATTCACTATTGGAAACTTACTTTGTCAAGAACGCACACACATCCAAACAAACAACGATGTCTCGTTACAGCCGCAGATATGAACTTGTTTGTACATGTCCCGACTCCGCCCACAAGCGATGTCACAGATTAATTCAAATTAAGAGTTCGACAGTGATTTTATACAAGTAGCCTACTTTTTTCCCTCACAGGACAACAACACTACACATTTTACATTAAACGACACAAAACAAAAGTATATTATAGTTTAAATGTATCAACCTTGCAAACACTCAGAGACCCTTACAAAAATAAACAAATATCCAGAGCCATGAATTCTCTTTTGTGTACACATTTAAAGTTGCATAAAATAATGAAATAATGAATAATAAAGAAATACAATGTAGCCTACAAGAAATACAATACAAGGCTATAAAAGCCATTTTCGCATTTCCACTTGACAAAACCATGCAATGCTGACGAATGAGTTAAGATGAATAAGAAGAAGAAAAAAACGAAAAAAAAAAAAACTTTTGGCTGTTAACACTGGTTTCTCTGGCTATTTGAGTAAATAAAAACATAATACTTTTACATTTAAATGTGAATTTGCCGTCCACCACTGAACTCTCGGCCACCCTTTTTTTTTTTAATAAAAATGCTGTCGTCACCCGCGCAATGATTTATGGGGTAGGATCAGGTAGGATAGTGCGTGAAGTATGGCGAGTGGATAATGCCACGGATACCGAAGTCGACAGTCGTGTACTTTTACGTGACAGAAGGGGTACGCCGCACCACAGACTCGTGACAACGACGTGTGACTCCAACGTCGCACCACAGCACGCCGCGTCACAGACACGTGAAGGCCAATTTATACTTCTGCGTCGAGGGTACGCCGTAATGTGCGGCGTTGGCTACGCACGTAGGCGACGCCGTTATGAGCATTTATACTTCTGCGTTCAGGTCTTGGTTGCTCTGCAGTACTGCTCCGAAACGCTAGTTGGCGGCGGAGAGTTTTAATGTGTTTAGATTCCTCGCGGCTAGGTTACTACAAGCAATAGCGATTGAAAGAGAGCTGATCATGTTGGAGTTGGAGCTTATTGAGGTGGAAAAACAGTTCACTTTAGTGAAATTATTAAAACTGAAAGGCAGAAATGAGAGAAGACGTCGGAGGAGATGGTACGTGTGGAAATCATAGACAGTGGTGGAAATGCGTGAGAAGGTACGTGCGGAAATGCGTAGGAGGAAATGCGATGATACCAAGCCGACCAATCACCGATCTTGCGGTCCGCGTCGTCGCGACGTGTAGTTACATTTTTGAGGAGGTGCGCGTCAGGCGACGGCGAAGGGTACGCGCAATGGGACGCGTCTGTGCGTATGCTACGCCGTACCTACTGCGCGCACCCTACGCCGAAGTATAAATTGGCCTTGACACTAAAGCCTGTTTTACATTTTTGAAGAGGTGCGCGTCAGGCGACGGCGAAGGGTACGCGGTATGGGACGCGTCTGTGCGTATGCTACGCCGTACCTACTGCGCGCACCCTACGCAGAAGTATAAATTGGCCTTCACTCAGTGGCTACTCCAGTTATCAACTCTGCCTTTTTTCATCAACACCACTGTGCCTCTTTTCATTTATAAATGAACATAATTATTATCATAAACATATAAATGGACACACAAATGTGGTTCAGGCAACGCACATTGAATATCATATATTTATAACAACACGAAATATAGCTAAAACACAAACCTGCTTCTTTTTTGTTTTCATTTTAAAAATATGGAACATTATTTATCATTAAAACTGACATTTAACAAACAGACAGGGTTGTATCATTTTATTGTATTATGCGTACACATACAGAAGAGAATGCATAGTAATATAATATTTTATATATTTTAGAATATATAAAATTACACAACCATGTCTCTTTTTTGTTAAATGTCAGTTTTAATGCTAATATCCCGTTCAAAAGTATAAGTAGCCTAATAGGTAGGCTATAATAAGCTATACAATGAGAAATAAAGCAAACAATTCAGTTAAACATAAGTCAGCTCTCTAATAGGCTACAAAGTTAAAGTTAAATAGCCTACATAATAAAGTTATAAAACTTCACTTTGCCCTCAGCCAAAACAATTTGCCATGGCACAAACTATATATTAATGTAGTTTAGCATTGTTTGGTCTCATAAGATAAATAAAATCATGCACTGAAAAGTTATGTATATGGTTGATTATTTGTCAAGATAAGTAATTGTTTTTCATAGATTAAAATAGCTTTTAAATTACGCAAACTGGCAATATTAGATCGGTTTTAAACATCTCCCCTTAAAACGCTATTGGTCTCGACTATTTAAATACTTGGCCTGAAAAAAATTTCAGTCAGAAGAATTTTTTTCACTTTAATCCCTGATTTAATTATCAGAAACTCAAAATAATAAGTTCTCAACTAAATAAATTAGCCTTAAGTTGATTCGACAAAAAAAAATTTGTGATAACAAGTCTTGAAAATATTTTTTTAAAGTGTACAAATAAACTTGAATTGAACAGTAGTCACACATCCCCGATTCTGTGGATATAAAAGCTTTTGCACAAGTAAAATTGTGTTGTTCTGTATAAATGCAAACCGAAAGTTGTTTTAGTCGTGTCTGTGCTTGTTTTACTGACATTCCCAGATAAAATGTCCGGACAGAGGGTTATGCAACATGGGTATTTTTACTAAAAACAGACATTTTCTTTCTAAACCTAAAGTTATGATAAGGGATAGTTAAACCAAAAATGAAACCGATATCATTTACTCAACCTCATGTTATTCCAAAACCACAATACTCATCTTAAGAACACAGATGACAATATTTTAAATGAAGTCAGCGAGATTTCCATCCCTCCACTGACAGCCCACACAATTATCACTTTGTTGCTTCAAAAAGTAAAAAAAAAAAAAAATCTATATGAATCAGGCAGTGCAGTCCAAATTTTCTGAAGAGACTTGATTGTGTAAGGCCATCTAATTCGATCCAATTGTGGTATTCGATTAGAGGTCTCACATGTGTTCCATCTTTTCTCATGGCAAAGGGATTTTTAACTAAATGCAATACATTTTATCTTATGCATGACCTCGTTATTTCATCTGACTCTATAAATGAAAAGGTTTTTCAATGATATCTGTGCATCATTAAATATATGTTAATGTTTGACTATTCCTTTTAACTCTAATGAAAATAAAGTCAAAGTCTGTTAGAATAATCAAATATAACAATTTATTATGTCAAGTAAATATATTTTTACAGTTTCGTAATCAATTGAAAGATAATCAATGCAAACCATCACATTTTCAAGAACAGAGAGGAACATTTTTACCCGACGTTATGAAATACATGAACGCTGAGTCTCGACGACACATGGGCTGATCTGATACAGACAAGGCCATGATCCTTATGCTGCGATGAAAGGCTATTCGGTAAAAGTGTGTGCCTCAGAATCATTTTTTCTGTTTGCAGTGTAACCTAAAAGGAAAACATACATTAAATAGAAACCACTGTTTTTGCATGCACAATGATGAATAAAGACTTTCCACCAATAAAATGTGTAATGTGTTTAATTGTTTTTTCAGATCATTTAAATAACCAGATGATTTTAAGTTCTTATGTTTTTCGTACGGCAAATTATTGCTTTTATTTCTTTGTTTTATGCTAAGAGAAAATAAAACAAGAAGTGACACTACAGTCAACGGCGTCTGTCTGGATGTAGACATATCAGCAATAAAAAATCTGACGACAGATACAACACAATCATACGCACAATTACATTGTCTTATTAACAGAAATCATGATGTTCTTTTCTGACACAGATCTAGTGTCACATGATTAATCTGCTACTTGTATAAACTCATAAATGCTAGACACCATGTCTTTCGATTACAGTTTAATAAACGCTGCATTTGGATCCTCAATTAGTGTTTCTTTTAGCAGTTTGTGACAGACAAGACGTTGATCTAAGAATCTGTTGCACTGAAAGATTTTGAGAGTTACTCACCAGAGACAGAAATGTGGAATAACTCCTATTAGGTTTTTTTCCATTTCTGTTGATGCTGATGATTTCCTGAGTCTGTGCTTCTGGAGTTTGATCTGTGAATGTTTTGGATCATCTCTCTGTATTTCAGGATCTGTTTTAAGATTGTCAGATTCTCCGTAACCAAGAAAAAAAAAGATAAATTAGAACAAGAACACAAAATCAACACTGATCATTTGTTTTCATAAACCTGCTCTGGTTTTCATTTAAACACTGAATCACATTCACACTGCTAGAGAACATGAACATACACATTATCTGATGCTTCATGTATTCTCATAATACATTACAATCCTTCAAGCAACAAGACTACGACTTCAACAATAAAATAGCATAAAATCTGTATGTCCACCATTCCTAATTTTTTTTTTTTTTTTTATTTGAAATGTGCCTCTTAATCTTTAATCAAAATAAACATCTCTTCTCTGATTACATGTTTGGGGGGGGGCGGGGCAACCTGCCAATCACATGAGATCCACCACTAGCAAACAACAACCTTCCAATCAATTCCCTATAGACAAAATCAAGACCTGCCCAACATGTGTTCTTGTTATAGAAGATGTTTCACTTGTATTTACAATCATTAAGAAAAGATTAACGCAACTTCCGTTCCTTGCCTCAAATACCCAGATGAGAGTCATTATACAGCGTTGATATTCAAACAGCAGGGATCCGTCTCAGAATGCAAGATAACATGACTGTGTTTGTTGTGTTTTGTATGCAAGTAGCAAAGTGGCTTCCAGTAACGTTATTCTTATTTGCTGCTATTTTATTAGGAAGGTATGGTTTTGTTCTCTTTGACTAGGATGGAAATGGTGCTTAATTCACAAATGTTTTACACAATATTCCAATTCTCCACACAAGTAAGGCTAAATTCAGAACTTTGGATGGAATGCGTTTGCAACTAATGCTCCCAAGCATGCAACTTTGAAAAATTACTATGGAAATTAAATTGCTACTTACTCTTTAGCCTTATTTGTTTATAATTCCTGTAGAGAATCACTGTTACCATGACCACAGCCAGTAGCGGGCCCGATATAATCAAAACTTTTATTTTTTTATCACCTGAAGTTTGAATCAGTACTGGAGTTTCTATATGAGAATCTGTAATGAAGAGAGAGATAACAGTCATTACTCTGATCTTTAAACAACAATTTTAAAAATCAAAGCAAGGCAAGTTATTTATGTAGCACATTTTACACACAATTGCATTACTTGTAAAAGACGAGCACTAGAAAACAACACATTTAAAATGCATTTAAAAAAATTAATTAAAAAATATAATAATAATAAATAAAAAAACATGATACTGTGCAATCAGTAATATGCTGCAGCGGTCAGTCTAAAACTGCATAATCATCACCATTAAGGAAACGGTCATATATCATGTAATTGTTCAGAGATTCAGGGATTTCGCACTATCTGAGCAAACCATTTAAATATTTCCATGACTCTTCCTGTAGTTTGTGATGAAGATTAAAGTAAACTAACTTCATTAACAGCGGAAACATCTCACTAAACTCAACATTGACATTAACTAGAACCGAAGACTAAAACACTGGACATGCTGGGAGAAAACAATGTGAACTAATTCTCGTTGGCAACAGCTGAAAACAAAGACTAATCAAATCAGTGACCATGGTAACAAATGGGCAAGCTCAGGAAGGTGATATCATATTAAAAAAGATTTCTATTAAGAATAAATGCTTAAAATCTTTTTTTTAACTTTTTTATTCATCAATGCATCCAGGAAAAAAAAGTATCCCAAGTTCCAAACAATATTAAATGGATCAAAATTCTGTCAGTATTTACTCACCCTCATGTTGTTCAACCCTGTAAGACCTTCTTTCATCTTCGCAACACAAATAAAGATATTTCTTATTTAATCTGAGAGCTGGATCACTCCTCCATATAGGCTTCTTGAGGGATTGAAACTTGCCGGCCTCGAAAAGCTATTAAAGACATCGTTGAAATAGTCCAAGTGAGTACAGTGGCTCAATCTTAAGTTTATCAAGCGACGAGAACACTTTTTGTGCGCAAAAAAAAGCATACAAAAATAATGACTTTATTTCAACTATTCGTTTCCTTCTCTTTGCATTGTCAGTTAAACTAGTGTGATTGCGTAAAGCTACGTCACACGTAGGCTCACTGTTGGCCGACGCTGGTCATGTGTGTGATGCGTGTGACGTACAAAAACAGAAGATTATGCTATTACACTAGTGAACTCGCTCGAGGCCCACAGAGAAGGAAATGAATAGTTGAAATAAAGTCTTTTTTTATTTTTTGCGCACAAAGTGTTTTCGTCGCTTGATAAACTTAAGATTGAGCCACTGTAGTCACATGGACTATTTTAACGATGTCTTTAATGACTTTTTCGAGGCCGGCAAGTTTCAATCCCTCAAGAAGCATATGGACTAGTATGGAGGAGTGATTCAGCACTCAGATTTCATCAAAAATATCTTAATTTGTGTTCTGAAGATGAACGAAGGTCTTACGGAGTTGGAACAACATGAGGGTGAGTAAATACCAATACCAGCCAATCAGAGCTCTCTCTTTCCTTCAACATGTCGAATCAGGCGAAACAAAGCCGACGAGGAATGTTTTTAGCCAACGACACGGAACCGTGCGGATCACACCGAGGAAACTTAGTTGGCCGACGCACAAGAACTGCCCGACGGCCGACCGTCGGCTTGGCGTGTTCCGGGCTTAAGTCAAGTGACCTCAGAAAATCTCGTGCTTCAGGCCAGACCAAATTCAAACTTTGTTGGCCCGATTGAGTCATAAGCTCCCATAGCTCATCGAATGTGGGGCTTTGATAGGAGGCAAGTGTATCAGACTTAAATGCAATGTCTGTTACTGACTCCTAGTTACTCTAAACCATGAAGCAAGCATGCTCTCATCCAACCTGGGCCAGATACAAGAGCCGTGTCCCCATATTCTCAGGAAATCCACAAAGGGAACTTCTACCACTTTTTCACCAAAAAAAGAACTGGTTCGGAACTGGTACTGGTTCAAAGTTGGTTCGGAGTTGGTTTAACTTGCGAACCCTTTCTGTTTGTTTTTCCACTGACTAGAGCGCCCAGGGAACGACGTCGTTACGTCACTGTGTACGTTGCCATATGTCTTAGCTAGAAACACTTGCAAGTACAACATTACTTTGGGATTATCTCTAACTCGTGTACCAAGAAGGCTTTAAAAACAATTGAAAAATGTAAGTCTTTTAATCTTTTCCTTTGATATGTAATCTTTTCTGATTAGTTATGTACTCCTGTCTTGTGTCTTTTTTCTTTCCATTTAATTGTTCTATATTGTGACTTTTCTTCTTTGCTTATAATGTTTTCAATAAAAAAATAAAAAATAGAAACGCTTGCGCCAACTTCAAGCATAACAATTACAAAGTTGGACTCAAATGTTTTTCAAATGTTTCTCTTGGCTTTGCGATCCTGTATTATGGTCAGAAATGATGTTTAGAACATAACTAAACCCCGACATAAGCATGACGTGGTAAAAAAAAAAAAAACGGTTCTAGTCCAGCAAAGAGTTGGTGCCGCTTTGGAACCAGTTTTCCTGGCTGAGAACCAGTTCTTTGGTTGTCGAAACACAAAAAACTGGTTCACACGCAGGCACCGGCTCTCAAAATGCTTTGGTGGAAAAGGGGTAAATGAGTATGAAATAGTGCATGCAGATGATAAGAAATTTATATTCAAACTGAACTGATTAATGATGCAGGTAATTGTAAAGAAAACAATATTTCAGCTTATAAACACAATGATCTGAACACATATAACCTGATTTTAAACACTCAGTAAACAACTCACCATGGATAGAAACATTAAAGGTCCTGTCATTGTTATTGTTGCTGATGATTTTTAGTTCATATTCTCCAACATCTGTGTTTCTGATGTGTGTGATGGTCAGAGATCCAGTCTGATGATCCAGCTTCAGTCTGTCTCTGAATCTCTCAGTGCCTTCATTACACTGAACATCTGTACAGATACAACTGAGATCTCCATTGATTTGAGCGATACGAGTGTCATTAAAATACCATTTAATTTTTTCTTGCTGGTTTGTTTTAACACCAGTGTATAGAGTGACTGAATCTCCCTCCATAACTGACACTTCATCTAATCCAACACCAGACACACCTAAGCAAAACATACAATAGTGTGGTTAATGTAGTTATAGTTTCTCTACAGATTATAAATGTCAGTAAAAACCCCAACACCTCGAGAATAATTGAACAGTTTTATAAATGGCATTATAAGCCAACTCCAACCAAGCTTGAGTTGGTCAAGCTTTTTTTTTTCTTGTAGGGGAAAAGAGAAATACAAAATATAAACAATAAATGTAGCCTATTTATGTCGAATTAAATAAAACTCAAATGGTTTCAAATAAATTAATAATACATTTTCATTTTTTTTAAATCGTAGAATAGAAAAGAGATTATGCCTTTAATAAAACAAATCTTACCGTAGTCGAGCAAAATACTCGCAGAGATCAAAATAAAAATAAAGTTCATTTCCCACACGTTTCCTCATGAAAAGTTTATTCTGTTGCTGCTTTCCTGATTTGGCAAAGTGAAACAAAAACCACGAAAGAGTTCAGTTATGTTCTTAATGTAGTGGGCGTCGAGATTAAATCGAACAATACGTAATGAAATATCTCAAATATGCATAGGATAAGAAAACGAAGACGGATAAATAAAAGCGCGACCGTCACTTCAAAGCGTCGAGCTGCGTTCCCTATTAGCTTGCTAACTTTGGTTATTTAAGAAATTCATAATAGATAAGATGCCCTGTGGGGTTTTTTAAACTGCAGGGGGAAAACGTAAGTCACAATTATTGTGACAGATGAAGGGAGATATTTGTGTCTTTGAACTTCCGCATTGGAAACAACATATGCATCATCGCTCATACCTCCTCCACTGGAAGATTCCAACTACAGCTCGCTGCATCCTGCGGTGGATATTTTTTTTTTTTTTTTTTTTTCAAGAATTACAATTACAATCAGGGGTACATTGAATAAACTAAATAAAAAAACAAGAAAAGACAAACAAAGCAGTGACAAACTTAAGTTAAACAAAAATGTGAAAATGTTTACATATAGATACACATTTTGCAGCTTTCTAATTTTTCAAACCCAGTATTGTTTTTAGGTATTGTTGAATTTCTGCTCTTAAAATTAAAAACAAAGGCTTGTTTCCACCAAATTTACATTTATGGATACTAAATTTAGCTAACAGAAGAAGAAGATTAATTAGGTAGTATTCCTTACGATAAGATTGGTCATAAAGGAAAAAACCAAATAACACATTTTTGAAGCAGAGTTGAAATCTGGGCATGATGTGAGCCGTAATAAAGGAGCAGAAATCAGACCAAAAACAAACTGAATGAGGACAACTCCAAAATAAATGATAAAATGTTTCATCATGTAGACCACAAAATGTATCAATATCACAATTAAATCTGGTCACAAGATAAAGATTACTTGGGTAATATTTATAAATTAGTTTAAGGGAAATTTCTTTGATTTTGTTTGTGACTAAATATTTATGAGGAAGTTTCCAGATTTTATTCCATATCAGATTATCAGCATAACCATTCCAAAATGATATAACAGCAGGTCTGGAGACAATATCCCTTTGAAACAAAGCCCGTACACAACGATTATTGTTTTTAACATAGGAAAGAGAAAAACAGATACGGCCAACTTCAGTATCAGCAGGATCCAATGAGAGAGGAGAAAGCAAAGGGCAGGTATTTTTAAGAAGCATTTTTAGACCAGAGGGAACAGCATCCATAACCACAGCAAAATCTTTAGGAGTAACTGGAATATTATATTTAGAAAGAAATTCAGAATAGGTCAACATAAGACCTTCATGATTAAACAGTTGGTTAACAAAAATGATATCATTACAAAACCAATTCATAAGAAATAAAGATTTAGATTTATACAAAATGTACTTATTATTCCAAATAAAACACCTGTTTGGGGAGAAATTGTGTTTATAGATTAAATTCCAGGAAAGAAGCATCTGTTTGTGAAAATTAGAGAGTTTTAAAGGAAGTTTGGCAATTTTGTAGTCACAAAGCAAAAGGAATGGAAGGCCACCAACTTGTGAAAAGATAAAGTGAGGTATAATATTCCAGATAGATGTTGGTTTTTTAAGGAATTGCTTAATCCAGTTAACTTTGAAGGTGTGATTAAGGGTGGTAAAATCTAAAAAGTTCAGGCCTCCATTCTCAATTGAGTTCATAACCACAGATTTTTTTATATAATGGGTTTTATTTTTCCATAAGAAGTTAAACAGTATTTTATCAATTATTTTACAAGTATTATCATTAACTGCTAAGGAGAGCGCTGCATATGTAAGTCTCGAGATGCCCTCTGCCTTTGTGATAAGTACTCTCCCCCTCAAGGAGAGGTCTCTCAGTAACCATTGATTTAATTTTTTCTTTGTTTTGTCAATGACTGGTGAAAAGTTAAGCCTACATCGTTCCTCTTCATTCTTCACAATCTTAATACCTAAATAAGTGATTTCGTCTTTAATGGGAATATTACAAATTGACAGAAGATTGCTGTTTTTAAGAGACATTAATTCACATTTATTTATGTTCAGATAAAGCCCTGAAGCTTTAGAGAATGTATGGACAATTTTAAGGGCTAAAGGTATTTCTCCTGCATCTTTTGAAAAAAGAGTGGTGTCGTCTGCCAATTGACTAATGATAAATTCACTGCCAGCAGCAGTGATACCTCTTAAAGGGCTCTGTTTAATATGATCTGCAAGAAGTTGTGTACAAAGTAAAAATATGGGGAAATAGGGCATCCCTGTCTGATACCACGACTGAGATATCCAACCCGCCCACATCCATGTGTGACGTCGGAAGCCTCGCCCATGTCAAAAGACGGCACGTGACTCGATTTGTTGTGATTCGTGTACGCATGCGCAAAATGCCGCTGCTTCCTGTCGGAATATGTTTATGGATGTTATCATTATGGATGTTATCATCAGTTATTGGTTTATAATAAAGATGAGGTTATTTGTGTAGAGGTGTGGCACTACAGATTATTGGTGCAGTTAAATTGTGACGCTTTGGCAGGCTTGGAATCGTCTAAATCACAATCACTCCCTTAACAGCTGTAGACAATTGCGTTACTTCTACATTGCTCACTGGTTTTGTAAGTTAATGACATATAGTACAAGTAAACAATGTACCTTAAAACGATATTTTTGTATTTCTCTTGTATTTCTGTTACAAATGGTAATCAATAATCATTTTTTGCTATAATAAAGGTATATGGGAGCATCTATACTTAAACTAAAACGAGTTTTTATCACTTTCTTAATTATATGGGATCCAAACTGCACTTATAGTTATCCCTTCTAAAAATAATTTTAAAAAAAACTTTTTTTAACATTTCTTTCTATGTGGTTATAGAAATATTGCATTTTTACAAATTAAGAATTCACCTGTTAATGCGTTATAGCAAATTACTTTGAAATCATATAAAAGAACAGCAGAATGGAATTTATGTAAACCTTAAATTAAAGAACCAATATGGTGAAACTCGAAAAATTTGAATATCGTGCAAAAGTTTATTTATTTCATGTAATTCACCTAAAGCTGATACTAATATAATATACTCATTAGTCATTATATGCAAAGTGAGATATTTCAAGCCTTTATGTGTGTTATAAATTTGATGATTACGGCATAAAGCTATGTTGAATTACTGAAATAAATGAACTTTTGCACAATGTTCTAATACATAAAAAAAAACTGTTAATCTCTCACTTCCTCTTCTGTACAGGTTTTATGAGTTTAACAGATCAAAATATCATCATAGTTCAAAATATCTTGGTCACAAATGAATTTTTAATGCAATATTTTGTGTTAATACATCAAGTTTACACATATGGTTCTAATGACCCATTTATGCAAGTGTGATAACTTTTTGTTTAAGTAACCAATGTCAGTCGTTCAAAGCAATACATTCACTATACTAAAAATCCCTGCACAATCGGAGGCTGCAGCTTTAGGACCCCGGTTACAGGACCCTTGTTTTAGTTTGCACGTACATAGTTCGAAAGACATTTAATCTCAGGAGTGTTTTTATAAAATGTGTTTTTTTATTCAAAATGCATCAGAGGCATTTACAAAAATGTAAATTTATACAAAACAAATTAAAAATGTACGTCAATCTTTAATCAACTGAAAAGTGGTGTGAGTCTTAGTTTCTTGAATTATACTGTATATTGATTAACCTCCTTAAGTTTAACTAATTTGCTCATTATCAGATAAAATAACGATGGAATCAGCACATGCAGTCACTAAATGATATGGCCAGATATCAGAAGGCAAAACTCGAGAATGATTCAAGCATTAATTTATTTATATATACATGTGTATTTATTCATATTATACGAAAGAACAAAATTATTTATGCTAGAACAAAGCACCAAAAAGATCCCGTTTTCCACCAGTTGCTGCAGGAATGGCTTCAACTCTGAGAGAGAGAGAGAGAGAGAGAGAGAGAGAAATACAAATGAGTTTAACATGTTCAACTGAAATATATATTTCTGATTTAACACTAAACAGTTATGAAATGTTGGAGTTTATAATGGCTAATTTTGCATTTACATTTATATATGTTTCTTTTCTTTCATACACAATCTTTTATTTTCTTTTATATGTTTTCTTTTTTTTCATTAAGATGTGATAGATGTGTGTGTAACTTTTACTAACGATAGAAAAGATGTATTCGTAAGCATTTAAAGGAAACTATTCATATCATCTAACATATACTCATAAGCATTTAAAGGAAGATGTTTATGTAATCCAAAGGGCATTATTAAAGATATAACGAGCCGTTAGAAATGCATAAGTTAGAGTAAGCTTAAGGTATAAATAAACTGTTAGAAATGCGTGAGTAATGTAAGCTTAGTGTGAGGACATATTGTTCTGTGTTTAACAAAGGAACAAACAGCATGGAAACATTTTAATAGCTCATTATATCTCAAGTGTGAATTATATGTGTGCAGGGTTTTGATCAAACAAGAGATAAAGCAGAAAGGTGTAAGGTCGAACATTAGCTGCGACCGAGAGCTGAACGGGGGTGTGAAGTTGAGAGGGACATGAAGCACAGGAAATTCTAACACAAACGTCATTGTGCTGTCCAGATTAAATATATGGTCTACAAGAATAGTTAAGAGCAGCGCAAATATGTTTCCTTGCTAGACGGTATAGGAGACAATCGGTTGCAAACCAGACATAGCCTGCGTTTCCGGGGTCTTCAGGTATATAAGGATGATGAGAAGGACTAGCCTTCGCCTTCACATGTAGACACTGTTCTGTATGTTGAATGCCAAGTTTTGGAATTGTTTTCTTGCAAGAAAATAAACTTTTGATACTTTGACTTTTGAAAGGTTTCCACTTGTTTTCTTCCTCCTATCTTTTCGAACAACAGAGAATTATTTCCACAACAAGTTGTAGAGAGAGAAAGTCAAATTGAATATTCGATTTAACACTAAACAGTTATGAAATGTTGGAGTTGTAGAGAGAGAGAGAGAGTCAAATTGAATATTCATGTTACTGACGTAATTCCAAACTCCAAATGTGTAAATATAAAAGTAACAGCCAACAATTGAATGGCCTCCTTTCTTTCTTCCTCAATTGTTTGTCAATTTGTCAGTTAATCTTCCACTTCACTGAAATAGTTATCAGAGAACAGTCACAGCTGTGTTACTGTAACAGAATTATCAGTAACAAAAGCGTGGACTGGGCATT